TGCCCCCGCAGAACCAATGTGTTCATTTTATTAGCGTTATGCTGAAATAATTCATTCAGTAATATTACAACAGAGCCAGAAAACATGGTCTGATTGATTGCAAGTGACGTTTTTAACTGCAGGGTGGAAGTTTTATCTTCTGTCGGACTTCATACTGTATCTATTTCAGAACTAGTTTGTAAAATCCTGATAGACAAATTATAAACTGTGTGTTTTGGCATATTAGAAAATGACAAGGTGATAAACTAGCATATGGACATTTACCAAAATACATGATGCAAGCACACACAAGTTCTTTAGTATAATAAAACATTACACAAAATAAATTTCATAAAGAACAGCAACTAACATTATATTGAAGAAAATCTTGCAGTCGAAGATATATAAGTACCTAAGGTGCTGATTTCCCTTTACCACCTTCTGCCCATATTTTCGCCAATTGTACCCGTCATTTACGACAACAACTTCACTTCTCGTCGGCAGAACAATCTTTTGCCCAGCTACTGTGCCATGTGATGAAGCTAGTGTCTTAACTGCCTTCTTCCTGCGTCACAGTAACTGAATTAGGTACCTACTTTTGTTGCTCTACAGTTTCTCTTCTTGTTTTATAACAGAAGGATAGGGCATTAATTGCTCATGAAAGGAGGACTCACTTTCTCTTCACATCTGGTTCATCGTGTCCCTCATCTACTTCTATCCAATTGTTTATGGTTTCATCACGTTTTCTTTTCACAAGAAGTAGAGATGCCAATTGGGTTGAAATCTGGTCAGGACGAGAAGGGGAAGACACATCTGAGCTATTCACTACTGTCCTATCATGCGTGCGAATGTCAGGCCGAACTTCCGAGCAGTCTGTACCATTCAAAGCAGAACCATCCTTTCTTTGCTTGCTTGGTTGAGGAAGTTCATGGTTGTGCCAGCCATTATGTGTGATCTGAGTTATGTGACCATCAATGGATCGCTCAACCTTCTTCTTCGCTGGACATTTGGTATGTGTGCACTTATAGTAGCTCCGAGGGCATTGACTGACCTTATCCTTCTTCTGGCCATATTTTCTCCAGTTATAACCATCACAAGCTGGTTTATCGAGAGCACCAAAGGATGTCATGATCTCAGATTGAGAAACCTCCGGCAGTCCAAACTGCTTACTTTGCTTTCTGACGGTTTGTCATCCAACCTTGTTTGCAGAGGTTCCTTTACCTGCAAAGAAGATTCCTTTGGATCAGTCGACAACTCATGTCCTAATGCTTCTGCTGAAGCCACCTGAGAGGAACACTGATCTTCGGCTTGCATGTGCATGTAAGAACTAGAGAATGCAAGCTTTGCTGTAACATGTGCTAGAGCCTGCTGGTGTCACATTCCATAGGGACACTGCAAAGCCTTGAAATATCATAAGTAACAACATGATGCCAATGTAATTAGATGACTTTTAGTTAACTATTTCTATAACGAACCATTGGGTGCATCGTAATTCACAGACTATTTATGTAGGAATGGTCTCTTCTAACAATGGAAAAGCGCAAAACTGGGACATCCCAAAATTTAGGTGTCGAACAGTGAAGAAAATTTTGCTAGGAATCTAAAAAAATTTCTCCCATTGTTTTTGGATATATGGGTGATGGTGAGATTTGAACTCAAGATCTTTGTCTGCTCTAAGACTATGTCGAAGTGCGTGAAGAGGTGGACCCAAGATTTAAAAGTGGCGGGGGACCAATGTGTTTACTTAGACATGCCAATTACCAGGGGCGCATCCAGTGCTTCGCCGTCGACGCTAAGTATGGATATTTATGTGGAAACCCACCAAAATTTCAACAAATATTATATCTAAAGTCATAATTTTAAATGAGTTGAATGCGAACAACCTTAAATGTCGAACCTATCAAGCTAACATCCTAGATCTGCATCTGTCAATTACAAGCTAATTAGTTTGGAGTGCAACTCTTTAAAAACCTTAAAGATTATGACAACTTATGAGAAAGGTACAAAATTCAACCTAATGAATATCATTAATTTAGTAAAAAATCTGTTTTAAAAGGCAGAATTGGGACTCGCCCGGGACTCGCCCCGGGGCGGAGCATTCGTAAAACGCCCCTGGGCTTATGTGTGGGGCTTAGTTCCGTGAGACTTACGCCTCGGCCATCGGGGCTTACGCCCCGGACACGCCCAACGCCCAGCGTACTGGGCTCGCCTAATAGAACTTTATGCAATTGTATGTAACTAACCTTGTAAATCTACAAATTTTCTTAATAAATCGTTGACTACTCAAATTACTTTTTTCCTAAGTATAAATTATTAAGTTGGGAGTATTGTCATAATTAAAATAAAAAATATTGCACGTTATCCACTAATACTTCTATGATAGTTAATTTTAAATAAATCTTTCATTTGAAAAGTATTTATTTTTTAACTATTGTTATGTCTTTACTATATAATAGTCCATAATTTTTTTATCATTATTTTTCTAATTTTTTTTCACGTTTACGAGATACAATACTTATTAATTTAATAGCTCACTATTAGCTATTAACTTGTACAAATAATTAGTTATCATGGTATTGTATGGTGAATTATGTGTCACTTTATTAACTTGTTGAAACTTAAAAATGAATGATGCTTGAGAATCATATTTAAATTGTGAATTATGTTTTTATATAAATTCTCTTTCCAATAGAAAGCATATTAAATAAAAGGAGTATCTTAAGAAAAATATCAAATTATAATATCGAAATTCTTTCAAGACTCATTACTCCTTAAGAGATACATATAAGATTTCGTATGGAATACATTACTTTTGATGTTTGAGTTGTAACGACATTGCAACTATTTGTATATTATGATATATGTCATACTTTTCATATTATTCATAGTTGAATTATAACTTATTAATATTTTAAATATATTATTTGTATAATTTTGTGATTTTAATGTAATTTTTATAATTATTTTTATTTTATNCAATACACAGATCTATCTAGTGGAGACGCCCTAACCCAACCCCCCCCCCCAGCCCCCGGGACAGAAGTACGAAAAATTCTAGAAGCCCCTATCCTGCAACCCTGATACTAGACCTCCAGACTTTCCTATCAAGGGCCATGTCCTTGGAAATCCGCATTCTAGCCATGTCATGCCTAATCACCTCTCCCCAATACCTCTTGGGCCTCCCTCTGCCTCGACTCGCGCCAACCACCGCCAGCCGCTCACAACTCCTCACCGGGGCATCGGGGCTTCTCCTNAAATTAGTAAAATTTAAAGATCCGTGGGACTTACGCCCCATGTCTCAGAGCTTACGCCTCGCCTCGTCAGAGATAAAACGCCTCGCCTCACGCCCCCGCCTTTTAAAACATTGAAAAATATAACAAAAGTACATCATCTATTCATACTTGAGCTCGACAGGCTTTCATTTTCTAAATTGGTAAAAAAAAGTTACGATTGCTTGGATTTGCAATTACTTCCATCTCAATGTATAAAAATAAACAATCATTTAAAAATGCATCACTAATACTATTTCGCAGTTCATTTTTTATGTGCTCCCTTGATGAGAATGCTCTTTCTACCATAACAGTAGCAACAAATAAAGTCAGAGTAAACTTGACAAGTAAATAAACACTGAATTCCAACTTGTAGTAAAAATGCTATAGGATTTACTACTAAGAGAATATGATTATTATTAGTAAATTAATCCCATAAAATGAAAATGACAATATTCTAGGGTTTAGTACTAAGAGAATATAATTATTAATTAAATTAATCCCATATAATTGACAATGGCAGTCCACAGAAAGATGCTTCCATATTTGTTTAACACAATTATACAAATAAATACTTAATTATCATTATTAGTGGTAGTATTTATAATTGAGCTCACATAAATATGAATCCTAGGTCCTACTAATTTGTGAAAAAACAGAAATCATAAAAGAATCAAAGTCAAAGTATGCTTGAAATAAATCGTATCTATAAGAGTCAATAGAAAGAGGTGAAGAAGACCTTTACAGTTAACAGAGTTATAGAGATAGGTCTACAAAGTGCCGGTGCTGAGGGGTGACGGAGGTCGGATCTCGCCGGACTCCGGTCGCTGGACGCCGGCTGCTTTTCGTAATTGAGTATGACGGAGATTAGAGTGCGTTAGGAACTAGGTAAGGGTTTCTGGATATGGTTAAGAGCAAAAAGGCGGAAACAAATGTTTGACTATACTATTAACTTGTTGAAAACAAGCTAACTGCTCAACCATTCATCTCAATCTTCAGATTTTTCAGTTAATTATTCTTGGAATATGATACCAATAATTGTTCTGACTTGGACGGAATATAAGTAAATTATTATTCTATTTTCCAGATTACAATCTCCATATATTGTTATACTTAATTTAATCTTATTGGGTAACGTATTTCTGCAACTCTCGTAAAACTTGAACTTTTTTAAAATGATGGGATATACCACCATGTTACAACTTACAAGGCTCATCCACACAATCTAACACTCTTCCAAGCAATTAGGACGAAACTAAATTAATACATCATGAGCAATATAACAATATTGGAAGAGATTTATAATATGCACCATTACACCAATGTATGAATTTAGTTAATGAGCTAAACGATAAACCCTCCAATTTCTGACTTCTTTGGGTTTTTTCTTATGGGTGCTCTATCAAGGCAAATTTGTCTAAGAGGTAGACATGATCCGAGGTCTCATGTTAAGATACATGTTATGTATTCATTGAGCTGGTCTAATAAATTTTTTCTTTCTGCTTCTTTGGTCAAACCATCAAGAACCAGACGGATTTCCAAGTTATCAAAAAAAGAAAAAAATTAGAAATTTAGGTCGTCCTTCTGAGCCCATAATTTTTTTCTTGTAAAAAAATTATCATAACTGCCATCAAACCTAACAAACAAGCTATAAAGTGATAACTAATTGCATCCACTTCGTTCCATGAATTCTCATCCTTAGTTGGAAAATGTTTCGAAATAAACGGTCTAGTAAAATAGGCTCAGCGATCAAGAGATGCAAACGAAATATAACTTCTAATTTACAAAGTAAATATGGTATCAAAAGTTGACAACTTTGCTTGAATAAGCTTATGTACTCTGCTGGTCTAGAGTTTGAAGCTGACCAGAAGAAGCTTAAATGGCAAGGACAAGCTATTACAACCTTCTATACTTTAACAATATATCAGACAACTTCAGAAAGTAGCATAGAATTTACAAATACTTATTGAGAACTACCAACAGATTCACCAAGCATGAGGTTTTCGAAAGAAAAGACTGACTATTTGGTACAAAAGTTAGTAGCTCAATCCTGTATCCTTTCACTCTTTTACCTTTGGTAATGCTCTACTTATGCTGCAATCTCAGTATCCTTTCACCCTTTTTTGGTAATGCAACTTATGCTGCAATCCTTTCACACACGGGTATTTCATTGTTGTTTCCAAAATCAATATCTTGGTGAAATAAAGGCCTCGAAGTCACCATCTTTTACTTTGCAACGCTGAGTACTATCTTTGGCTGTTTCTATTCCTAACAGAGGGAATGTCGTGATTATGCTTGCCTTCATAGGTTGTTATGACATTTTTTGCATCAGTTGAAGCCCTCTCGACTTGTTTGCGGACATTGCATCCAGGACATGTGCACCGATAATAACTCCTGTATATCAAGTTTGGATGCATAAGGGGATGTTTTGTTCAACTTAAGAAAAGAAGAGTAATCAAATGAATGACCAGTTCCAGGAAAGACAAATGTTCTAGAAATTTTCAACAGTAACATGTGAAATCACATTCTGAGAAGACAGAACTGCCAAGGGTTCAAACTAGACAGTGCTACTGATTGTAGTACTTAATTCTAATCTCCAAATGATCTTATAACACTTGTTTGTTTTATCAGATGCATATATAAGAATTTCTAAATTCTGCCACATGCTTTCACATAAAAATTCATATATTGTAATTTTTTCCACTGCCCTATCCCATAGTGTACAGTATAATCCTGTACCTGGATGTAGCTGAATATCTTGCATTGTCCAGAGGTTTCAAAACAAAATCTGACAAGCCAAATTAATAATCACGAAAGCCATTATTGAACTATTACTATCAAATTCTTCATGTCCAAAACAAAGGATCATGAGAGTGCAAACCAGATGTGCTTACAACCGAGATCCACTTTTCTATTTATTTTCCAGCTGAAACAGACTTATATATTGTCTTTCTTGAAGCCGAACAGATTTATCGGGGTGGAAGTTTGTCATAGCAACAAGGGGACACATAAAAGAAAAAGAAAAGTGACACAAGCAAAAGCAAAAAGTAGCTTAGAAGGGACCCCCCCCCCCCCCCTTTCTTTTCTTGTGATTTATTATCCCATGTCACAAACTTGAGCTCATGAACCAAGTGATCTAGTTTGGTGATCAGGTAGCAAACCAAACCTTTAGAAGACAATGACCGTCTTTGCCCACACGTCATTAGTAATAGCACATAATGTTAACAAGAATGAAATCCAGGAATCCAAAAGAAAAAAAATGGATGACCTGCAACTTCAAAGAGAACTATATTTTACAGTTTTCCTTTTTACATTATTTGAAAAGAGTTAGTCCTACAACTTGCACCTGCAGTCCAGAGTGTTCGTCATTAGTCTTATGCTCATCACCAAAAATATTCATGATTCAATGTAAAATTACAAAGCACTATTCAGAAATATTATAATTCAGAGCCAGAAAACATGGCCTGCTTGATTGTCAAGTGCAGTGTGAAAGTTTCCTCTTCTATCAGACTTCACACTGTATCCATTTCAGAACTATAGTTTTTTTTAAACTTCCATTTCAGAACTATAGTAGTTTGTAAAATCATGATAGACAAAGTTTCTAAACTATGGGTTTTGGCATATTTCAGCAGGACAAGGCGATAAGCTAGAATCATTTCCTGGACATTTTACCAAAAAACATGATGCAAGCACGCACAAGTTCTTTAGTAAAATAAACATTATGCAAAAATAAGATTTATACAGAATCTTGCAGTGGAAGATATGTAGACTATAAGTACCTTGGGTGCTGATTCCCCTTTACCACCTTCTGCCCGTACTTTCGCCATTTGTACCCGTCATCTAAGAAATCAACTTCACTTCTTGTCTGCAGAACAATCTTGGATTCAGCTACTGTGCTATGTGATGAAGCTAGTGTCTCAACTGCCGTCTTCCTGTGTCACAGTAACTGAATTAGATACATACTTTTGTTGCTCTACCATTTTCTTCTTGTTTCATAACAGAAGGATGGGGCGTTCTTTACTCATGAAAGGAGGACTCACGTTCTCTTTGCATTTGGTTCATCATGCCCCTCATCTACTGCTACCAAAATGTTTTTGGTTTCATCATGTTCTCTTTTCACGAGAAGTTCAGATGCCATTTGGGTTGGGACCTGGTCAGAACGAGAAGGGGAAGACCCATCTGAGCTATTCATCACTGTCCAATCATGTGTTTGAATGTCAGGTCGAACTTCCGAGCAGTCTGTACCATTCAAAGCAGAACCATCTTTTCTTTGCTTGCTTGGTTGAGGAAGTTCATGGTTGTGCCGGCCATTATATGTGATCTCAGTTATGTGACCATCAACAGATCGCTCAACTTTCTTCTTCACTGGACATTTGAGATGTGTGCACTTATAGTAGCTCCGAGGGCATTCACTAGCCTTTACTTTCTTCTGGCCATATTTTCTCCAGTTGTAACCATCACAAGCTGGTTTTTCAACAGTAATAAAAGACGGCTTGTTCTCAGATTGAGAAAACTCTAGCAGTTCAAATTTCTTACCCTGCTTGTCCGATGGTTCGCTGTCCATTCTAGTTTGCGAAGGTTCCTTTAGCTGCAAAGAAGCTTCCTTTAGCTCAGTTGTCAACTCATGTCCGAATGCTTCTGCTGAAGCCACCTGAGACGAACATTGATCTTCGGCTTGCATTTGCATGTTCGAATTAGAAAATGCAGCCTGGGCTGTAACATGTGCTAGAGCCTGTTGATGTGACATTCCAAAAGGACTCTGCAACCAAATTGAAATACCATTAGTAACCGCATTATGCCACTGAAGTTAGATTACATTTTAGTTTAACCTTTTTTTTTTTTTTTGATGAAGTAAGGGAATTTCATTAAATGGCATCAAGAAGATGCATAGCAAAAAATTACAACATAAAGGTATTGTCTGCTCATATACAAAAACTTACTATAACCAACCATTGGATGCATCATAACTCACAGACTCTACCAATAAGTGGGACGTCACAAAGATGTCGAACAATGAAGAAAATTCTGCTAGGAATCTAAAATATTTTCTTCATTTTTGTTGGATAAATGGACACGTGATAACGGTAAGACTTGAACCGAGGATCTTTGCCTGCTCTAATACTATATCAAGTGTGTGTGTGAGCATCTCAAGAATACTTTCTTCCATTTCATAACAGTAGTATTGGCACGCATTCTCACTTTTTTGTTCTCTTTCATTGTTGATCACCTTACTGTCTTGTTGTTTTTATACTGCTTTTATATGGCTTTATGGTATTGTCTCTTCTTGTCTATATTTTCATTAATATGGTGCTTATGCTTTCCTGAGCCGAGGGTCTATTGGAAACGGCCTCTCTGTTTGCTCAAAAGTTATTACAAAACTTACGAGTATAAACAATATAAATAAATCACGGGATAATCATAGCAAATCGTAATAATCCGTTGGGGTTTCGCCTTCACGGTATTTATAGCTGTGACCACGTTGGGGTTTCGCCTTCATGGTGGCGGATGGGCCGTGGCCTTGTTGATCGAATCAGACGAGGGTTAGAATATAATTAATTCTGAGTGGTCGTGCCACTAATTAATCACGAATTAACTTAAAACGGGATTAGCTTCGTTAATTATCGTGGGGTCGGATTCTGACTCATACACTCTCTATTCTCTATCCTCACAAGGTAGAGGTAAGGTCTGCGTATACTGGGTATATTGTTGTTGTATAAATCCAGCCAAAGGAAGAAACTTTTTTTTGCAGCCTGGAAGCAGTTTTCCAGTGGTAGACAGTAACAAAAGTATGATATTACGACAGACTTAGCATAGTATTAGTTGAATTACAGAAGTATCAACAGCACTAAATTAAAACAGAAAAAGGCGAAATCTTCGGCTATTTTTGCAAGTGAAAATGAACAATTGAGTGAATAATTACCTGAAGTGGAGAAAGAAACCCAGGTGAATTAAGCAATTCAGAAGGACTCAAACCAGGAGGAATCATGAACAAAGGAGATTGGGCCAACACAAGGCCCATGGGCCGATTCTGCTTATACCCTGAGTTCTTTTGAGTTCCTTCTCCAAAATTATCCGGCAAAAGGGCCGGCTTTGCAAGTGGAGAAGTCATAGCTCCGGCAAGAAGCTGGGAGAAAGAAGGATAATCGGATGAATCAGGGCTCTGATCGGAGAAGAAACTGGAAACTAGGGACATTGGACCTGGGCTGAAAGAAGGCATGTTACTAAAAAAGGATTCGAACGAGGGCCGAGGTGGGATTGTTAAAGCCGGAAACGACATGCTAAAAAAGTCTATCAGCTGAAACAGAACTGTGATGAGAGCAATTATTTATTTTCACTGAAGAAGAAAGAAAGACAATTAGATTAGCTCTGCTCTTATAATTTGGAGTTGCTTTTTCTGTTATCTCTTTTGGCTTTGGCTTTGGCTTTGGCTTTGGCTGTGACGTTTATATATTGGCTATATGATGGGGGACTGCAGTCGTCATTCGTCAATGGTGTAATTACTGCTGGGACCTGCTTTTGCTTATTGTACCTTTCTTTTCCCGCTGTGCTTCTGCCTTTGTTTGCATTTCGTACCTTGTACAAATCCTACTAGATTGGCTGCTTATTTTCCCACTAATATCTTAATTTACTTAAAAAGATAATTTATAACAAATTAGTTGGGTGAGGGGTATTGATTCCCGTCACCAGCCGCCTTCTTGTTCATAGCTCGTTGCACATGATTGGTTCAATTAACATTGCACAGTGAGTAAAGTATCCAGGGCGGGTAGCGGCCGTGAATTTTCCTAGAAAATTTCCAAAAAAGAAAAAACAATATACATTTATTTTTTCTTAAGTAAAAATACTCACTATCAAAGGTTTGCGATTGCATTGTCGGGTCTTAACTTTAAAATCTGGTTAAGGATGATTTTATATATATCATTTATTGAAGTAAGGATAAATTTGAAAGGAAAAAAACTATTGTGGTTTCCAGAATCAGGCACTTATATTTGACCTTTTTATTTATTAGACAACATTTAAAAAGAATCGAAGGAGTAATTTTATTGAAGTTCTTTTTCTACTCACAAACAATATGAAATTTCTTTTTAAAAGAATATAAAAGGAAGAAAACTATAACAATCCTGAAACATTTTTTTCACAAAACCTTACAATAATTCTTGAAAAACTGTTTATTTGTCCAAATTGTTCCTAATAGTAGTGTTTGATAGACTGGCTAATTTTCATTTGGTGGGAGTTGGCACAACTATTTGTTGCGCAGGATTTACTATCTGACATAGGTTAATTACAATTCTAGATTTATTGGTTTAAAAAGTTTTTAGCCAAATCTATAATAACTAAAATTTAGCCAGAAAATATAAAGGAAGCAATTTATTGAGAAATATAGAGTATTAAAGTAAATCCTTTGAATTGTTCACTAAACTAAGATTTTAGATATATTAGAGGAGAAGAATAAATTAATTAATGAAGTATTTTGCAAGTTGTGAATAAACGGATAAGAATGTGAGGCTAGTGGGCAAAAAAGAGTCCAAATAAAGAGTACTACAGTCTACACATCTACAGCAGTGGATATACAATGAATTGTTTACCTACCAACTGCCACTTGGGAGAAGTAGATTATTACTAAAATATTTTACTACGTACTAGTTAGCAATTTAGACAAGAATTTACCTTATATATGCATAATAGCTTAAACAATTTTTATACTAAAAACATGATTATATTTGTTTTAATAAATCATTTACCATCTTTTATAGGTTACAGACAATGTTTGCTGTTAAATAGTACTTGTAATTAGTTTTTAAGTAACCTGACAGTTAAAAAAAATATTTGAGATTGTCCGTGCATAGAAGTTAATTTGTTAAGAAAAAGCAAAAATGATTTCTACTTGGGGAGTAAGAATTGGAAAATTAGAACGTCGGCTGATTCAAAAGAAAATCTGAGGTATGAATATCATGAAATTCGTTAAAAAAAATTACTATAATTTTTTCTCTCTGATAATTTTATAAAACAAAAAAGAAAAACATGTCGGTTATACGTTACTCTAGCTGTGATATAAATTGGAGGGGTCAAATAACGTACACGTGGCCCAACTGCAATTAAATAAGGCAAAAAGATTCAAGCAAGTTGCAGTTCAATAAAAATAAAGTGATATTTTGTCCTTGCTACAACAACTCAAATAAGCGTTGTCTTTGACAAGAGGCAAGTTGCCAACTTGACAAGCGTTGTCTTGTACTCTCTCATTCATAGTATAATTGGCTTTTTAGCCTTTGATATACCCCTAAAGAAAATACGAACTTTTAAAGAAAAAAAGAAGAAATATATTCACTAAATTACCTATAATTAATTGTTACTTTGATACATTGGGATATATAAATAAGGGTAAATTTTGAAAAAATAAAATTAATTCCTTCTTGATTATGTAAAAAGACTTATTTCAGACCAAAATAAAAAGATCAAAGATAACTTATTATAGACCGGAGGAGTAAAAGTAAAATGACCTTAAAATTTACAATCCAAATGAACAAAGTTACACATCAATGCCCTTCCATTTGCATTTGGCACTCTTGACAAAAAGGATGGAAGTCTGTAAGTTTACTATAGGTGGAAGAGATACGGAAAAAGAATGTACTTTCTCCGGTTCATAATAAGTGATTGTATCCAGGAAAAAGATTAATGTAGGAGCAAAAGATGGTGCCTGAAGAAGCTCTCTTTGAATCAGGAAAAGCAACTCAGATTTTGGACTCAATGAAATATGTAGATGAAACAGCCAGGCCCTCTACATCGTAAGTGCGAATAAGTCTTTGTCTCTTGCCAGGCGATTCAAGCCAACACAACTCCAGATGAAATGACTTGGATTCTTGCACACTGTTGGCCACATCAGACGGGTATCCCATGTAAATGCCCCCAGGTAACAAAGTAAGCCGGAAACCACCGTCGAATGTCACTAGGTTTTCGGATATGGTACCGGTCCAATGTACATTGGTTGTAACATTACTTGCACCAGAGGTAGACGTGATATCCTTGATTCAAGGGGAAATAAAAGGAAAATTAATTGGCAGCAAAAAGGTAAGCACTAAATGAAACAAAGACCAAAGATATTCATTTGAGACACCAAATAGCCTAAAATAAAAATAAATAGTCAAAGCAAATGAAAAGATTAGAACTTTCCCCACCCACCTTATTTTTTTGGACAAATAACTTGAGAGACTCCAAAAAGAGATATATAGTTTTTTGCTTAAGGATTGAAAACCAAAAATTATGAGAGAGTTGAGAACCATTAGTTAGTGTTAGTTATCCTCCTTCAGGAGCAACGACAAAATGACATCAATGATGTTCTGCCCTCCATATTTGAGTTAAACTTACCTTACGGTGACAATTCCAATCTACCAAGATATGTGCTTCATATAGAGCAGAGGATCTGGTCAGCTAGCATATTCGTCGAATCATTTAACTGTTTTGAATTTGTATTTTCGAAGAAGGTGAGGGAGATAGAGAGAGACTCCATTAGTGTCCCAAGTGGAAATGGGCAGTGTGAATCATTTCATGTATATTAGTAGTTTGCTGACGATTACTCTAACCTTTGCATACAAGGAACTTATTGCAAGGAGCTAACAAACCTGAACTAGCTGGCCATCCTTGTTCATTTCAAGAACAGCAGTAGTTTCGGCTTCAGTAATTGTTGCTCCATAAACACCAGTACGCTTTGTTAGAGAATGACCTTTCCAAGTTCCAAGATGAGGGTTAATCCTTTCAGAATCCTCCTACAGGATGAACATGGGATGCAAAGGCAAGGCATAAGAACAATATTTGGTTCTGGTAACTAACATGTTGAATCAAACTATGTTTAGGCAATCACGGAGGAATAGAAGGGGAACCCTTCCCCTTTAAGTCAAAAGTACCTTGAAATTGTCAAGGGAGGGAGGAATGACCTCTCCGTTGCCTCTTTCTTCAAGGAAAACTAGAAGCATTTCAAGAATCCCTTTTGGGTCCATTATATGAAAGGCCCTCACTCGTTTATCTTTCTCCAGTGAATAAAGACAATTTTCACACACAATAGAAGGTTTTTTAGAGGGAAGCTTCAAATTTCTGTGAAGGAAAATAAGTAATTATAGAATGTAAGACATTCATAGCCAAATTGGAACCAAAAGATAAAGCTAATAAATAATATGCACCAGTCCTTTATGCGAAAAAGATCCCAGTGTCCTTAACCTTTGCATTTGGATATTAAAGATGGTCTACAATTTCTAACATGAAAGTGACAGGCAATACATCTGATAAAGAGGTCCTATATATTCGCTCTAACTTGTGTTGCTGTGTGCATTCAAGCAATAGAATGCAAGAAAGCATGTTCCAAAAAGATCAGGCATATTTCGACTGGGGGTAAAAAAAAAATAGGACAAACACAGGAAGTACCAAACACATCTATATCCACATACACAACCCCCCCCCCCCCCCCAAACCACCATCACCCAATACTCCAACTAACGTACTGCATGAGTGCATGTAAAGTTATGAATAAGTTAATGTTTACATCCTCTTTGTGAAAATTAAAATATCCACAACATTTTTCATCTAATCAACATATAATTTAGCTAAACGATTATACAATCAAAACAACTTAATGATTACATAATAAGTATAAGGCTAAAACATATCTACACATGCCTTGAAATGACCTCACTCGACTTGCAGGAGAATGTCGTATTTTGCAAGAATATTATGATACATACATCTGATATGTTGAACAAAATAATAGATGTGATGATTCAATAGCAATAATTATTTAGCAAACATTAAAAAGTTAGTCTTTTAGAATTCAGTAGATAACAAAAAAGGAGGAATTGGTTTTTTTTCCCACAAGGTATAGAAACACTGAACAGAACACAAAAGAGACGTGAAAATATCCAAAATAAGCTAGAAGCAGCAACATTCAGGCCATACTGGGTAATTGGTATAAGGTCCAAAAAAACTAGAAGCAAAATACATGCATAAATTCAACCACTTGTTTCATAGAACTTTATATTTTAGCTTATCCATTGAGTAACATCTTCAAGATAAGTTTGAAGCAACAACATGTAGACCACACAGGGTATCATTTCCAAAATAAAGCTAGAAGCAATATATGTGCATAATTTCAACCACGGATTTCATCAGAACTGATATTTTAGCTTATCTCCATTTGCCAAACAGTTACCTTGGTGATTCTTCTCCAATATCATCTTCACCAAGCACTCCCTGTCTTAACACTGTCTCTAGCATGCCGGCAGTCTGATATCTTAGTGCGTACGCCTTCTCCTTAGGGAAGAAGCCAATCTGCAAACTACTTTTAGTGGTACCTCAAATGCAATAAAATCTGAAAAGAAAAGAAAATTGCAGATAACAGTCTCAATTAGGTATGACAGTGGGTGGATGTAAATTAGTTCTCTGTCTTAGTGAAGCTCACCTGTTGATATTTGTCCACTGTAAACATATTGGTCTCTTTGATTTTGTATTCAAACCACTCTTGTTCATAATCATCACCAGAAAATGAAGTGGTAGATGCAGGTTGTTTGATGTATAACCTAAAAATTTGAGCTGATTAGTCTACTTGTCTTCCAAACCATACAGTGCACAGACA